GGACTGTTTGATACCATGGGTTTAGGCCGGAGGTCTTCAAAGCTCATTGGATAATCAAATCGCCAAGAACGTATGCTGTATACACCTTTCGTTGGGCTTCCTGGACTCAAGAGATATGCGTTTATACCCGGAAGCCCAATTCTGATCATTTGCCCAATTAGTGGCAAAAGATCTGATCTGATTGGTCAAAATATCAATTAAGTGACAAAAGATCTAATCTGATTGGTCAAAAGATCAATGTTTAATTAGTCTACCTGGACTCATGAGATCATATAGGCCTATTCACAATTGTATTAGCTCCTTGTGCTAGAAGCAATGCAACAGTTACGCTAATAAATCCTGTGTGAGTGGGCAGACATCCACTGACAGGCACCACACGGGGAGCATCTCCAGGCAGCCAGGCAGGGTGAATCATGACTTGTGCTGGTGATTAGCCACGGCTTTTATCTCTTACTATTAGCTAGTGCTACCCGGCTAGCGCTCAGTCGATATGTATGTGGGTGGGTGGTGCTTGACTGCACATATGCAGCATATGGTCCCCTGTATCAGGTCATTCATGCTTAAGCAAGTGCCGCCGTCCTCCCTGCCCCAACTCAGTCACTCACAACCCAGATTAGCCTAGCTGTGTAGCCTCCTGTAGCCTGTTAGCTGGCCTACACTGCTACCAGTACCAACCCTGAATAGGCCTTATTACATAACATTTTGACATGCCTAAAATGATCTACCCTACATATACAAAAGTATGTGGACACCCTTTCAAATTAGTGGATTCGGCTATTTCAGCCACACCCGTTGCTGACAGGTGTATAAAATCGAGCACACCGCCATGCAATCTCCGTAGACAAACGTTGGCCATAGAATGGCCTTAGTGAAGAAGCTCAGTGACTTTCAACGTGGCACCGTCATAGGATGCCACCTTTCCAACAAGTCAGTTCATCAAATTTCTGCCCCGGTCAACTGTAAGTGATGTTATTGTGAAGTGGAAACGTCTAGGAGCAACAACAGCTCAGCCGCGAAGTGGTAGGCCACACAAGCTCACAGAACAGGACCGCCGAGTGCTGAAGTGCGTAGCGCGTAAAAATCATATGTCCTCGGTTGCAACACTCACTTCTGAGTTCAAACTGCCTCTGGAAGCAACGTCAGCACAAGAACTGTTCGTCAGGAGCTTCATGTAATGGGTTTCCATGGCCGAGTAGCCACACACAAGCCTAAGATCACCATGCACAATGCCAAGCGTCGGCTAGAGTGGTGTAAAGCTCGCCGCCATTGGACTCTGGAGCAGTGGAAACGCGTTCTCTGGAGTGATGAATCACGCTTCACCATCTGGCAGTCCGACGGACTAATCTGGGTTTGGTGGATGCCAGGAGAACGCTACCTGCCCCAATGCATAGTGCCAACTGTAAAGTTTGGTGGAGGAGGAATAATGGTCTGGGGCTGTTTTTCATGGTTTCGGGCTAGGCCACTTAGTTCCAGTGAAGGGAAATCTTAACACTACAGCATACAATGACATTCTAGACAATTCTCTGCTTCCAACTTTGTGGCAACAGTTTGGGGAAGGCATTTTCCTGTTTCAGCATGACAATGCCCCCGTGCACAAAGCGAGGTCCATACAGAAACGGTTTGTCGAGATCGGTGTGGAAGAACTTGACTGGCCTGCACAGAGCCCTGACCTCAACCCCATCAAACACCTTTGGGATGAATTGGAACGCCGACGGCCTAATCGCCCAACATCAGTGCCCGACCTCACTAATGCTCTTGTGGCTGAATGGAAGCAAGTCCCCGCAGCAATGTTCCAACATCTAGTGGAAAGCCTTCCCAGAGAGTGGAGGCTGTTATAGCAGAAAAGGTGGGACCAACTCCATATTAATGCCCATGATTTTGGAATGAGATGTTCGACGAGCAGTTGTCCGCATACTTTTGATCATGTAGTGTATTTTTGTAGCCTACCAAGGCCTACGCATGGAATGCAATTCAGGCCCCGTGTAGCTCAGTTGGTAGAGCATGGCGCTTGCAACGCCAGGGTTGTGGGTTCGTTTCCCACAGGGGGCCAGTATGAAAATGTATGCACTCACTAAGTGTAAGTCGCTCTGGATAAGAGCTTCTGCTAAATGACTAAAATGTAAAATGAACCATGGATTATTGCCATAATATTGCCAATATGTCATACCATTATTTAACATGTCCATGTTTGGTTGATGATTAGAAATAAATTATTAGTCTTTAGCCAATGTCAGATTCTACCAACACCAGAATACCTCATATTCTTATGTAGTCTATTTGCAGAGGCCCGATAATAATTATAGACGGGTGACGCTAGAGCGCGGGCGCGCGCGACAGCGGCTACCTTGTCATTTTGATCACAACGAAATCATACAATGAAGCAAGACGAAATGAAACGGGGTGCTATAATGTTGCAACACCAAGGCTACATGCTAAGGTCTTTTCTCATCCCATCTCCTTGATTTGTTCATGTCTAGTCCAGCCTGCTAAATGCAATGTATACGTCATGTAGTCTTATTTATAAAGCAGATTACAGCAAAATAGGGTAGGCTACATATCGGTCAAGATAGCCACTCACTCACCGTCTGGGCAAACAACATGAAAGCAGAACGTGTAAATCTCCTAGTGTCGCACAATATGTTTTTTCAACATGTTATGATAGAGAGTGTTGACTTGTATCTACTTTAGGATAACAACATAAATATGGATTTACAGTGTTGACAGGGTTACGACTGGGAAGGGCATATCTCGGCCATAGCACTGCCCAATAAACAGAGTCAAAATTGGCAAGGAAAACGTTTCCTCCTTCCTTGTGAGGGAGGGCGGTACGGTTTCATCTCACTCTGTGACACATATTACACGGTAATAACACGACAAACTGTCAAAAACCGTAGGCTATATAGTCTCTCCACCTGCAGACATTTTACCATATTTACTGTGGTGTTGCTCTGTCGGTTGGTGGGTAAAAATAAGAGTCGCGGCCGTTTGCTTACCATCTTGCCGGTTGGATGACGAAATAGGTTGACCCGGAGATGTGAACGGGGAAAAAACTATATAAAACGGGGGTCTTGCTATTACAAAACACGGTGCTCGTGATATTCAGGTTCTTGTTTATTTTTTGACCAGCTCCTCTCTCTCTTTTACCGTCGGTTTCACTGCAGTGGTACAGGGAAACCCGCAGGGCGGAGTCAGTAAAGCAGAGGAGGGACAACCGAGGTGTGGAGGGAGAGGAGAGGAGCCAGCAAGCCGGCTACATTTCTAAATAAAAGTCCCTATGTTCAAAATGACTTACCTTAGAGCAGTATATCGACAAGGAAAGACTGCGATTCATGCTTTGGGACTAGCAACTGCCAGTCTTCCAATGTAGCCTACCCCAAATTAAAAAAAGAGATTGCGGTCTGCCAAGGTATCCCCGAGCCGACTAGGTGAAACATCTGTCGATGTGCCCTTGAGCAAGGCACTTAACCCTAATTGTTCCTGTAAGTCGCTCTGGATAAGAGCGTCTGCTAAATGACACACAAAAAAAGGTATGGTGCCCCTGGAGCAGTCTTAAGGGTTAAGTGCCTTGTTCAAGGGCACAATGGAAAGACAGCTCACATGCACACTCCTCTCCCTTTAGTGTTATGTGAAACAGATAACTTTTATTGTGAAGATCTCAGCACATTCTCAACGCCATGTTGTGGATTAATGTTGCGTTCATAACATTTGGGAAACACGTAAAATACTTGCATTACAGCACATCCGGGGAACTCAGCTCAATTTTTTCCCTCCAATGTCTGTTTGCACAAGTGCACCACTCAGTGGTGGAAACTATGCAGTGCATGCAAGAATATCCCCATTGTCCAGACCCACTGTATGGCTACTGCTATTCTTAGACAGGAGCCACAAGGGCCCTGTGGATGTTGTGTCCAGTCCCCCCCCCCGCCCCCCCCATCCCTTTCGTTAGGGATCGTCAGCTCTATCAGCTCTATCGTCCAGAGTTCTCACATATCCTGCCTAATCACACACAGCCAACAGTAGAGCTGATATAAAGTGTCTAACATATAACATAATACACTGTTTATATAATATTCGCCATTTAGCGGAGCCTTTTTATCCCAAACAACTTACAGTCATGCATTCTTTATATGGGTGGTCCCAGCGGGAATCAAACACACAATCCTGGTGTTGCAAGCGCTGTACTCAACCAACTGAGCCACAGAGGACCACAACATTATCATGCAACCTACTAAAAGAGTTGCATTTTCATGCAAGATTCATCACAGCAGAATGTTTTCATACTTCATTTCCGAGGCATGCAAGTCCCCAACCTCATACTAGAAGCTATGGATGGATACATATCATGCTCCTTTCAGGTTTTCTTAGACTGTAAACCTATAAGTAGATTTTTCACAAAAAAAATAAAAATAATAAAGATGCAACTGACCCAAAACCACAATTAACCTGGTTGCACTTTACTATATTTTAGGGTATAGAAATGGCCAGGTATTAAGAAACTGCATGGGACAATAGTAATTACACAATAATAACCTAAGAATTACTTGTTTGTTACCTAGCATTCAAATGACCAAAAAAACACACACGTCTTCCCAAATATATTTACTATTCAAATACATCCACAAAATGTTAAAGCTACCATGATTTACATTTAAAAAACATATCCAGTTCTCACAATCTATTAAAATGTGTAGTTACATTCAACGATGCTCTGACAATTATACAACATTTGGTTGCATTTTCGCTACATATCTCATAGTAAGTTATATTGTTTAAAAAATATATACGTGTTCATTAGGGGCACACCGTAGCAAAACATTTTGCAACGGAAAACTAAAACAGGCTATTTTATTGGCTAATTTCAGGTGCTGCGTTTTCCTTTCTGTTTTCCATGAGTTCTCCTACAACTCCAGCACCTGCGGAAAATACCTGGATGGGCCTATGTTCTTCAGCTTTTGTAATTTCAGGTAGTACCTCCCGGTTTCATTACGTTATCTTCCGTTTGGTGCCTAATGAACACAACCCTGATGCTGTCTGTGTTGGTTGGTCGGTCAGACAAACAGCTCCTTGTTGACCCACATCAGGCTGCGTGTCTCGTTGGGCTTGCACTCGTACTCGATGCTGTTGAAACTGTTTCCCCCCTGGCAGTGGTCCCTCTTGTTGTAGTTGTAGTACTTCACCTGCCACACCACCTCAAAAGAGCCCACCTCTGTGAACTGGGAGGGGAAATAATAAGGTCTTTCAGAGTTAATCGGTTAACTCAGGTTAACTTTTTGTAATTTTAGTGTACTAGTTTTTTTCTCGCGCGATTAAGCGCATTGTCTGAAAGAGTTCAAAATAGACTGAAAACATCCCAAAATACATAATCTATACAGCTAAAAAAAAAAAAACATTTACATGGACATTTTTGTCATTTGGCAGAGGCTCTTATCCAGAGCGACTTACAGTTAGTGGATTCATCTTAAGGTAACTAGGTGAGACAACCACTTATCACAGCCATAGTAAGTACACGTTTACTCAATAAAGTAGCTAGCTATAAGCAAAGTCACACACAGTAAGAAAAGCCAAATCATAATTATAAACACTGTGGAGGCACGGCACAGCTTCAGAGCTTCTGTCATCATTTGCATCACAAACAGTAGACACCTTGATACAGAATATCCTACATGCCTAATGGTCTATAGGGATCGTTGTGAATGTGTTCATATGGATCATGCTTAGCCTGGTTTTCAGATCTGTTTGTGCTGTCTTGCCCCAACACCTATGGTCATGGCATGACAACGCCCATAGGAGTTGGCTATACCACACAAACAGATCTGAGACCAGGCTAAGTTGACACTAACTATACTGAGACCAGGCTAGATGATGCACATATACAGAAATTAAGCACCACAAAGCTTCAATTAAACACTGAGTCTCAAATAGCAACCTGCCCATTTCAATAGCTCTAAATTTATGGGGAGATTGTTCCATTTAATTATTTCTGCTTTCATGTTGTTGAGTAATGGGATGAAGTTATCTTTATATATGTATTGGTTGTTGTCACTTATTAAGCATCCTAAGTATTACATGTTTTTTGTGATCCACTTAAAGGATTGCTGTAGATCATTAGTTATTATTTTTCTCATTGCCATTATTATTTTATTTTATTCACATTCATTTTATATCCTGAGATTTTAGAGTATTCCTGAAAATATTTTTTAATAAGGGGGACATTGAGTTTTCAATATTAGTCAGGTACATCAGGATATCGTCTGCAAATAAGTTTAGTTTATATTCATGTTTACCAATACTGATACCTGTTACGTTTGGGTCCTGTCTAATTCTTTCTGCTAGCGGTTCAATTGCCAGTGCAAACAGGAGGGGGGAGAGCTGACATCCTTGTCACGTGCCCCCTTCTAAAGCTTTTTCACCTGATAGTGTATTGTTTGTGTATATTTTTGCTTTAGGATATTTATATAATATTTTTATGAAATTTATTATTTCAGCTGGAAAGTTGAACGCTTCCAAAGTTAAATAGAAAAGGACGCTCAAGCCGGTCAATAGCCTTTTCAGCATCAGCAGCCATTATTGATAAATCTACATCTTGTATTTTAGCGTATTGTATTATAATGAAACATGTTCTTGAATTTGTTTGTAAGTTTCTATTTTTAATAAACTCTGTTTGATTAATACATATCAAGTCTGGTAAGACTTTTGCCATTCTGTTGCTATGAGTTTAGTTATTATTTTATTGTCGCAATTTATTAAATGTATGGGTCTGTAATCTGTTGGGGACTCTCCAGATTTTCCTGGTTTTCATATAACTGAAATAACTGTTTGATACATGGAACTCGGAAGTACTGAATTGAGTGACATGTGTGTTGTCATTTGATTAAATAGTGGCGCTACTTTGTTATTGATTCTAGGAAGGCTACAGGATCATTCCAATTCTTATTTAATTCATATAGATTTCATAGCATTATAGCATTATTGTTCTTAATTAAAGCACTTGTATCCTTATCTTTTAAAATATAACTGGTTTGGCATGTATTTGTGTTGTGAGTGCTATTTTTTGCCATTAAATCTACATTTCTAACTCAGATGTAACTTTTGCCAAGTATGAGCTTATCATTCCCCTAATGTATGCTTTAAAAGCATCCTAAATAATGTCGGAGGTCGGCTTTTCACTCTATGTCTACATTTGTAATGGTAAAGGTCTTTATTTTTTTGCTTACGTATTTAATACATTTCGGGTCTTGAAGATGCGCTCCATATTCTGTCACCAAGTGTATTTTCTGTTGGTGTAATTAAGCATGATACAGGAGAATGATCCGATACCACTATATCATGGATTTTAGAACCCAGTATATTGTTGAGTGCATTTTTTTTTGGGGGGGGGGGGAATGTGGTAAATTCTTGAATAGGTTTTCTTACTTTGAGGAAAAAAAGAGGTAGTCTTTTGTAGTTGGGAATAATAATCTCCAGGTGTCCTGTAAAATATTTGTAGAGATGACATTTTTAAGCCTCTTTGGAGGTTCCTTGAATTTCCCTTTTTATTGCTATGTCTGACTAACTTGCTGAATGCTTGATTTAGGTGACCAGCTAAAATAATGGTTCCTGTCTGGGTTTGATATAATATATACTGCTAAAAAAATAAAGGGAACACTTAAACAACACAATGTAACTCCAAGTCAATCACACTTCTGTGAAATCAAACTGTCCACTTAGGAAGCAACACTGATTGACAATAAATTTCACATGCTGTTGTGCAAATGGAATAGACAACAGGTGGAAATTATAGGCAATTAGCAAGACACCCCCAATAAAGGAATGGTTCTGCAGGTGGTGACCACAGACCACTTCTCAGTTCCTATGCTTCCTGGCTGATGTTTTGGCAACTTTTGAATGCTGGCGGTGCTTTCACTCTAGTAGTAGCATGAGACGGAGTCTACAAACCACACAAGTGGCTCAGGTAGTGCAGCTCATCCAGGATGGCACATCAATGCGAGCTGTGGCAAGAAGGTTTGCTGTGTCTGTCAGCGTAGTGTCCAGAGCATGGAGGTGCTACCAGGAGACAGGCCAGTACATCAGGAGACGTGGAGGAGGCTGTAGGAGGGCAACAGCCCAGCAGCAGGACCGCTACCTCCGCCTTTGTGCAAGGAGGAGCAGGAGGAGCACTGCCAGAGCCCTGCAAAATGACCTCCAGCAGGCCACAAATGTGCATGTGTCTGCTCAAACGGTCAAAAACAGACTCCATGAGGGTGGTATGAGGGCCCGACGTCCACAGGTGGGGGTTGTGCTTACAGCCCAACACCGTGCAGGACGTTTGGCATTTGCCAGAGAACACCAAGATTGGCAAATTCGCCACTGGTGCCCTGTGCTCTTCACAGATGAAAGCAGGTTCACACTGAGCACGTGACAGACGTGACAGAGTCTGGAGACGCTGTGGAGAATGTTCTGCTGCCTGCAACATCCTCCAGCATGACCGGTTTGGCGGTGGGTCAGTCATGGTGTGGGGTGGCATTTCTTTGGGAGGGCGCACAGCCCTCCATGTGCTCGCCAGAGGTAGCCTGACTGCCATTAGGTACCGAGATGAGATCCTCAGACCCCTTGTGAGACCATATGCTGGTGCGGTTGGCCCTGGGTTCCTCCTAATGCAAGACAATGCTTGACCTCATGTGGCTGGAGTGTGTCAGCAGTTCCTGCAAGAGGAAGGCATTGATGCTATGGACTGGCCCGCCCGTTCCCCAGACCTGAATCCAATTGAGCACATCTGGGACATCATGTCTCGCTCCATCCACCAACGCCACGTTGCACCACAGACTGTCCAGGAGTTGGCGGATGCTTTAGTCCAGGTCTGGGAGGAGATCCCTCAGGAGACCATCCGCCACCTCATCAGGAGCATGCCCAGGCGTTGTAGGGAGGTCATACAGGCACGTGGAGGCCACACACACTACTGAGCCTCATTTTGACTTGTTTTAAGGACATTACATCAAAGTTGGATCAGCCTGTAGTGTGGTTTTCCACTTTAATTTTGAGGGTGACTCCAAATCCAGACCTCCATGGGTTGATAAATTTGATTTCTATTGATAATTTTCGTGTGATTGTGTTGTCAGCACATTCAACTATGTAAAGAAAAAAGTATTTAATAAGATTATTTCATTCATTCAGATCTAGGATGTGTTATTTTAGTGTTCCCTTTATTTTTTTAAGCAGTGTAGTTTGAATTCGATCAAAAATAAACACCAGGTTTGCCCCTGGGGGGATATACAATGAAATCAATGTGTATTTTTCCCCATTTAAGGTACAATTCAAAATTACACATTAGTGCAGGAAATTAAGAAATGTCTTTTAAAATGCTGGAAATTAAACAATTAACTATGCAAATGAGCAAAAGCTGGCTCATCTCTAATAAGCGGCTGTGGTGTTCAGGGATTTAAGCAAATAAATGCCCAAGCTATTAATTGAAGTTTGCAGGTATTTGTAATGGGACTCATGAACTGCTCTGAATGAACTTGTCTACTAGTTAATTGTTTTGTTTACTAGTTAATTGTTTTGTTTACTAGTTAATTGTTTTGTTTACTAGTTAATTGCTTTGTTTACTAGTTAATTGTTTTGTTTACTAGTTAATTGCTTTGTTTACTAGTTAATTGTTTTGTTTACTAGTTAATTGCTTTGTTTACTAGTTAATTGTTTTGTTTTCTAGTTAATTGTTTTGTCTATTTGTTAATTGTTTTGTCTACTTGTTAATTTACCCTTTGCTAAGCCCCGCCCCAGAATGTTGGGCAACCAATCACAGCGCTCCAATGGATAACATCTCACAATTAAAACGCGTGAAAGCCAGTGAGGGTTATGGTAAAAAACAGAGTTTTCTACAAAAAGTAAATGTTTAAATGGCTAAATAATTGAACAGTTTGTTCAATTATTTGCTACTGTACTTGCTAACAGGAGTACTTGCTACTGTTATTCCTGAGACAGTTAGAGTATATTTCTAATCCCGAATTATACTCATGTTACATTGTTTGCTAGCTAAATTGGTTAGCTCTCAGTCTCATTGACCACCAAACATGGCTAACGCTAGCTAGCTAGCCACTTAATATAACTTGTTTTCTCAAAATGTATTTTAGCTAGCTAAGTTAGCATGTTATGAATACAACTCCCATCTGCTGTTGACATAAGGATACGATTTGAGAGCACTAATTAGCTCCAAAAGTGGTTATAGCTTTGACTGCATGCTGACAGTGAATTCAGAGCCATTCAGTGGCTAGCTACACTACAAACATAATTTGACCAGGTTCCCTTGAAGGAATTGTAATGACAGTCCACAACAACATACCCAATAGTTTTCTGATTAGCAAGGGGTAGTCTGTGTTTAATGTCATTGTGTATTAGAAACACAGTTTAAGATCATTGTGAGGGGATTTCGCCAGTGGTTGAATGGGAAATTGGGCTTCCTGGGAAAATGTTGTTTGAGGTTGCAACAGTAACCAAGGCGGACGGGGCTTAGCGAAGGGTCAATTGTTTTGTCTACTTGTTCATTAAAAAATAAGGTAAATTGTAAAGTATTTTATGTCTGTAATCCCAGGAAGACTGTACCTGTCGTCATGTCAAAAATGTTCCCTTATTACCTGCAAGCTGATCTGTACAGCTTGTCTGTCTCCACTCTTGGTGTGAGTCATGCCCTCTGTGTCGTAGATGCCGGTGTAGACCCCAGACTCGGGGTCTCTGGACTTCTGCTCCAAGGGGAAGGGGACTCCACCTACACTCATGGTGCTGAGGACAGGACAGGATCACAACAGTTACATAACAGACAATACTTTTGTGACCGCTTGACTGGGGCAGGGGTTGGGGGTGGATTGGTGACACTGGGGACATTGTTTGACATTGCAGCCGACAGTGCAGGAGACTGCTGAATGACTGACTTACAAAGACAGGAAGGAATAACCAAATGCAGAAACACATCTGAGTGCATGTATAGCCTACTACTGTAGGAAACCACGTCAAAAAATAGGGAGCCTTCAACCATGCCGCTCTCTGTCAAACACGCTGGAAGCCAGGACAACAACCTCTCCCTCAACGTCAGCAAGATAAAGGAGCTGATCAGGCACTACAGGAAACGGATGGCCGAGCACACCCCCATTCACATCGACGGGGCTGTAGTGGAGCGGGTCGAGAGCTTCAAGTTCCTAGGTGTCCACATCACTGAGATACTACTGTATCATGGTCCAAACACACCAACACAGTCGTGAAGAGGGCACGAGAACACCTCTTCCCCCTCAGGAGGCTGAAAAGATTTGGCATGGGCCCTCAGATCCTCAAAAGCTACAGCTGCACCATCGAGAGCATCTTGACTGGCTGCATCACCGCCTGGTATGACAACTTCTTGGCATCCGACCGCAAGGCACTACAGAGGGTAGTGCGTATGGCCCAGTACGTCACTGGGGCCAAGCTTCCTGCCATCCAGGACCTATATACCAGGCGGTGTCAGAGGAAGGCCCAAAAAATCTTAAAAGACTCCAGCCACCCAAGTCATAGACTGTTCTCTCTGCTACCGCAAGGCAAGCGGTACCGCACGGCAGGTCTTTGACCAAAAGGCTTCTAAACATCTTCTACCTCCAAGCGATAAGACTGCTGAACAGTTAATCAAATGACTACCCAGACTATTTGCATTGACCCCCTTTTTTTGTTGTTGTTACACTGATTCTCTTGCACCGGCTCTATGCACACTCACTGGACTCTACCCACACACTCACTGGACTCTACCCACACACTCACTGGACTCTACCCACACACTCACTGGACTCTACTCACACACTCACTGGACTCTACCCACACACTCACACATACTACACTGACACTCTACACACACTGCTGCTACTCTGTTTATTATCTATCCTGATTGACTAGTCACTTTTACCCCTACCTACATGTACATATTACCTCAACTACCAACACTGCTGCTACTCTGTTTATTATCTATCCTGTTGCCTAGTCACTTTTACCCCGACCTACATGTACATATTACCTCAACTACCAACACTGCTGCTACTCTGTTTATTATCTATCCTGATTGCTTAGTCACTTTTACCCCTACCTACATGTACATATTACCTCAACTACCTCGTACCCCCGCACATTGACTCAGTACCAGTACCTCTGGTATATAGCCATGTTACTACCTGGTACCCCTGCACATTGACTCAGTACCAGTACCTCTGGTATATAGCCATGTTACTACCTGGTACCCCCCGCACATTGACTCAGTACCAGTACCTCTGGTATATAGCCATGTTACTACCTGGTACCCCTGCACATTGACTCAGTACCAGTACCTCTGGTATATAGCCATGTTACTACCTGGTACCCCTGCACATTGACTCAGTACCAGTACCTCTGGTATATAGCCATGTTACTACCTGGTACCCCTGCACATTGACTCAGTACCAGTACCTCTGGTATATAGCCTCGTTATTGTTGTTTATTGTGTTGAAAATATTTCTTACTTAAACTCTGCGTTGTTGGGAAAGGGCTCGTAAGTAATCATTTCATGGTAAAGTCTACACCTGTTGTATTCGGCGTGCGACAACTAAAATGAGATTTTATTTAATCGGTAGTGGATTTGACACAATCTGGCAGCGACTTCTGTCTCCCTGCACCTGCCGGACACAAACCTAAACCAAACCCTAACTTTAACCCAAACCGCTTAACCTTATGCCTAACCCTTACCTTAAATGAAGACCAAAAAAACGTATTCTTGTTTTTATGCATTCGTAGCCTACGATATAGCCTAGCCAATTTAGACTGCAGCTAATGGTAACTCTAACCGCTCGCCCTCTCACATAACTCCAACATCGAATCACAACCTCCTACGGCTTGTGTCTCATCAATGCTCTCAATGACCAATTGAATTAACCGATAAATGAAATTAGATGAAAGCGGTGACATAATATCCACGGGTTGTGATCTTTGCCAAGAGAACATGCCGAATTCTATTCCTCACACCATGAAACACTGAGTTAGGATAATAAAATGGACATCAACAGGCAGTGATGGACAGTGACAGAATATTCTCATCAGAGGAATTGTCACAATGTAACCTATTGAAGTGGATAGACATTATAACAGAAGAATATTGCCTGATGTGCGAGCGCCTGTACTGCATTTCAGCCCACCATACTTACGTTGCCTCTGCAGCCCCAGGCTTGACAACCACTTCAATCTTGTACTTTGACCCCGTTAGCAATTTAATCGTCCTGGTTTGGCCAAATCTCGCACCGTCCGATTTGAAGAACACGGCACTGTTATTTGGTAGCAATTTCAATGAAATTCCAATCTTGACGATCGCGATAGCCATTCTTGTTGAGGTATGAGCTTGTGCTCAAATCCAATCCTACCTGAGTGAACAACAGAGAGGCGCAGATGTGAAACCGTGGCCTGCACGCTGGATTCCAACAGAACTATCGATGTAGAATATTGTTGTGATGTGAAAGCACGGGTTTACAATGTAAAAACTCATGGCAGAAGGCAGAGCCGAAAGTAATTTTCACTGCCCTAGCGCGTAATCCCATGTACACACACGTAATCCTCCTACACATGCAATCTAATGAGACAAAGATAAAAGGTTCGTTCTAAACTACTTGGCCTTGTAGAGAAAAAATAAACCTGCATTTTGTTAGAGTGGACTAGAGGATAATCAGGCCCTGGGAGTCCAGAGTGGACTAGAGGACAATCAGGCCCTGGGAGTCCAGAGTGGACTAGAGGACAATCAGGCCCTGGGAGTCCAGAGTGGACTAGAGGACAATCAGGCCCTGGGAGTCCAGAGTGGACTAGAGGACAATCAGGCCCTGGGAGTCCAGAGTGGACTAGAGGATAATCAGGCCCTGGGAGTCCAGAGTGGACTAGAGGACAATCAGGCCCTGGGAGTCCAGAGTGGACTAGAGGACAATCAGGCCCTGGGAGTCCAGAGTGGACCAAAAGAAAAGACAATTGTTGAAGAAAAATCTGTTCTTGTAGTCGAGAAAACTGTTAAGCATTCACCCAGGTTTTATTCAATAGTGACCTGCGCAGGGGAGACCTTTTCTCTTAGACACAAATACAAATACGTTTTAGCTTATATAAGCAAGGAACATCTGGTTTATCTCAGTATTCTCTTTTTTGCTGAGTTTTCTTGGCAAGCTTATCTATTATATAAGACATATATATATAAGACATATATATATATATATATATATATATATATATATATATATATATATATATATATATATATATATATAGGTGTCCAAGTGATACACAACAAAATGGTCCCATCATAGCCCATATAAAACTGTTTTATAGCCCATTTATTACTATGTCAGCCCTCCCATACGTTTATCTCAGCTTGGCATCTTTTTGGTGTCGTTTCCTTCACTCCTTCTGTGCTGTGTGGACCTTCCCACTCGCTCACACACGCACACGCACGCACGCTCGCTCGCACACACACACACACACACACACACACACACACACACACACACACACACACACAAAGACCCTCCCCATGCCACTCACAACAGAGAAGAAAGGTAGATCCAAGTTGGCTGGGCTTTAAATATAAAGAGTAGCTGGCTACTCACTAGCAGGTGGGCTTTAAATATAAAGAGTAGCTGGCTACTCACTAGCAGGTGGGCTTTAAATATAAAGAGTAGCTGGCTACTCACTAGCAGGTGGGCTTTAAATATAAAGACTAGCTGGCTACTCACTAGCAGGTGGGCTTTAAATATAAAGAGTAGCTGGCTACTCACTAGCAGGTGGACTTTAAATATAAAGAGTAGCTGGCTACTCACTAGCAGCTGGACTTTAAATATAAAGAGTAGCTGGCTACTCACTAGCAGGTGGGCTTTAAATATAAAGAGTAGCTGGCTACTCACTAGCAGGTGGGCTTTAAATATAAAGAGTAGCTGGCTACTCACTAGCAGGTGGGCTTTAAATATAAAGAGTAGCTGGCTACTCACTAGCAGGTGGGCTTTAAATATAAAGAGTAGCTGGCTACTCACTAGCAGGTGGGCTTTAAATATAAAGACTAGCTGGCTACTCACTAGCAGGTGGGCTTTAAATATAAAGAGTAGCTGGCTACTCACTAGCAGGTGGGCTTTAAATATAAAGACTAGCTGGCTACTCACTAGCAGGTGGGCTTTAAATATAAAGAGTAGCTGGCTACTCACTAGCAGGTGGGCTTTAAATATAAAGACTAGCTGGCTACTCACTAGCAGGTGGGCTTTAAATATAAAGAGTAGCTGGCTACTCACTAGCAGGTGGGCTTTAAATATAAAGAGTAGCTGGCTACTCACTAGCAGGTGGGCTTTAAATATAAAGAGTAGCTGGCTACTCACTAGCAGGCGGGCTTTAAATATAAAGAGTAGCTGGCTACTCACTAGCAGGTGGGCTTTAAATATAAAGACTAGCTGGCTACTCACTAGCAGGTGGGCTTTAAATATAAAGAGTAGCTGGCTACTCACTAGCAGGTGGACTTTAAATATAAAGAGTAGCTGGCTACTCACTAGCAGCTGGACTTTAAATATAAAGAGTAGCTGGCTACTCACTAGCAGGTGGGCTTTAAATATAAAGAGTAGCTGGCTACTCACTAGCAGGTGGGCTTTAAATATAAAGAGTAGCTGGCTACTCACTAGCAGGTGGGCTTTAAATATAAAGAGTAGCTGGCTACTCACTAGCAGGTGGGCTTTAAATATAAAGAGTAGCTGGCTACTCACTAGCAGGTGGGCTTTAAATATAAAGACTAGCTGGCTACTCACTAGCAGGTGGGCTTTAAATATAAAGAGTAGCTGGCTACTCACTAGCAGGTGGGCTTTAAATATAAAGAGTAGCTGGCTACTCACTAGGACGTGGGCTTGTGCTTGAGAGATTGTTTAGGGGACATGTGTTATATGTATATCTGCTAAGAGCAGTTGGTCATTATTAGTGCATTGTGAATGGTTCTGGTTACATTTGTAACAAAAAAGGGCATTTTCATAGACAGACTTGAAAGTCCGATCATTATTGCAAAAAAGCAGGTGAAACTATTTTGATAAAATAATGAGTGGGTCTTATGGCTGTGGAAGGCTTATATTTAGCCCGGGATTCATTAGATTATTCCTGACTGTTTGAAATGTAATGTCTTGGCATTTAATTGTGTAACAAAGGTTATTTAGAGGAAACATTAAAAAAATTGTTTAGATATACAGTGCATTCGGAAAGTATTCAGGCCCCTTGACGTTTTCTACATTTTGTTACGTTAAAGCCTGATTCTAAAATGGATTAAATAAAACATTTTCCTCATCAATCTACACACAATACCCCATGACAAAATGAAAACAGGTTTTTAGAAATTGTAGCAACTTTATTAAAAATAAAAAACAGAAATACCTTATTTACATAAGTATTCAGACCATTTGCTATGAGACTCGAAAATGAGCTCAGGTGTATCCTGTTTCCATTGATCATCCTTGAGATGTTTCTACAACTTGATTGGAGTCAAGCTGTGGTAAATTCAATTGATTGGACATGATTTGGAAAGGCACACACCTGTCTATATAAGGTCCCACAGTTGACAGCGCATGTCAGAGCAAAAACCAAGCCTTGAGGTCGAAGGAATTGTCCGTAGAGCTCCAAGACAGGATTGTGTCGAGGCACAGATCTGGGGAAGGGTACCAAAACATTTCTGCAGCATTAAAGGTCTCCAAGAACACAGTGGCCTCCATCATTCTTAAATGGAAGAAGTTTGGAACCACCAAGACTCTTCCTAGAGCTGGCCGCCCGGCCAAACTGAACAATTGATGGAGAAGAGCCTTGGTCAGAGAGGTGACCAAGAACCCGATGGTCACTCTGACAGAGCTCTAGAGTTCCTCTGTGGAGATGGGAGAACCTTCCAGAAGGACAACCATCTTTACAGCACTCCACCAATCAGGCCTTTATGGTAGAGCGGCCAAACGGAAGCCACTCCTCAGTAAAAGGCACATGACAGCCCGCTTAGAGTTTGCCAGAAGGGACCTAAAGTACAATCAGTCCATGAGAAACAAGATTCTCTGGTCTGATGAAACCGTTCTTTGGCCTGAATGCCAAGCGTCACGTTTGGAGGAAATCTGGCACCATCCCTATGGTGAAGCATGGAGGTGGCAGCATCATGCTGTGGGGGTGTTTTTCAGCAGCAGGGACTGGGAGGCTAGTCAGGATCGAGGGAAAGATGAAAGGAACAAAGTACAAAGAGATCCTTGATGAAAACCTGCTCCAGAGCACTCAGGATCTCAGACTGGGGTGAAGTTTCACCTTCCAATAGGACAACGACCCTAAGCACACAGCCAAGATTACGCAGGAGTGGCTTCGGGACAAGTCTCTGAATGTCCTTGAGTGGCCCAGCCAGAGCCTGGACTTGAACCCGATCGAACATCTCTGTAGAGACCTGAAAATAGCTGTGCAGCAATGTTCCCTATCCAACCTGACAGAGCTTGAGAACATCTGCAGAGAAGAATGGGAGAAACTCCCCAAATACTGGTGTGCCAAGCTTGTAGCGTCATACCCAAGAAGACTCCAGGCTGTAATTGCTGCCAAAGGTGCTTCAACAAAGTACTGAGTAAAGGGTCTGAATACTTATGTATATGTCATATAATTTATATATATTTTAAATATAAATTAGCAGAAATTCCTAAAAACCTGGTTTTGCTTTGCCATTATGGGGTATTGTGTGTAGATTGATGAGGGGGGAAAAAAACGATTTAATCAATTTTAGAATAAGGCTGTAACATAACAAAATGTGGAAAAAGTCAAGGGGTCTGAATACTTTCCGAAGGCACTGTATTTAATGGATCGGCCATGAAGTTGGAAAAAATGTAGATATGAAAATGTAGCTAACAATGTTAAAAAGCTAACATAGACACGAGATACAAAGCATGCTACATGCTGTAACAATGACGACAATATGGATAAAACAGTTAGAAAATAATAATGTACAAAACCGGAGATTCTGGTCACAGCAGCAGATGGTCACAGCAGCAGATGGTCACAGCAGCAGATGGTCACAGCAGCAGATGGTCAGCTGCACAATTAATTGAACACTCTGCAGGCCTGCGTTAGCTGTGACGTCAACATTCACTCTTAAAGGGACAGGCTTTCTTACAAATTTTATATAATTTATAGATGATGTTCATCGTTTATTTTATTTTGTGGTCTATAGATGACATATTTATAATAATATAATATGCCATTTAGCAGACGCTTTTATCAAAAGCGACTTACAGTCATGCGTGCATACATTTTTTTTTTTTTGTGTATGGGTGGTCCCGGGGATCGAACCCACTACCTTGGCGTTTCAAGCGCCGTGCTCAACCAGCTCTGCTACACTCTGCATCCATATTTAATTGGATGCAGAGTATATCATTATTGGAATTGATTTGAAATGAATGTCAATTCTCTTGAATGCAAAGAATAATATGTAACCCCCTGGTTAAGTTTAGCTCGGACTGGACTGTGTTCAACATTGTTGTATGTGGGACATATTTTAAGACAGACAGCAAGGGATTTTTTATTTTTTTTTCAA